TAGCATAGGAACTATCCGAAATTGTTATAAATTTCGTGGTTGGCTTCAAATAATGTCCTATTGAAATATCATATTTTTCACTACTTCTATAAGACATTATTTTATTGAACTTTTTTCTATTTCAGAAAAATAAGAAACTGGCTTTGCAGAGTAATAAAAGAGCAGAAAATATACATATGTAGCATAGGAACTACCTAAAATTGTTATAAATTTTTAAATTTTCGAAATAAATAAAAATAAAAATTAAATAATTTTTAACGTTGTTGTCTTGAGACCGCGCGCTCGGAGAGCGCGCGTTGTTTCTAGTAACCTTATTGAAAAAAAAAATTAATTTGGAAGAAGAAAATTTTTTTGGAAGTTTGGTGACTGTCTTCAAAATTCCAATTCGTCACCAAACTTCCATTTTGATCGTACGAAATGTTACCGAACTTCCACTTGCACGTATATATACTACTATATAAATTTCTGGTGTCTATCTGTCTGTTCGGGGTAAGCTCCAAAACGTTCAATTCGATTGCGACCAAATTTAACAGATATGTAGAGGGGGTTGTTCGGAAAGTTATATGCTACTTTTTGTTAATGTGAATTGTTTATAACAATTAAATTTGTTATAAACAATTGAAAACAGGATTTATTCAATTTGAGATCTTTCAACGGGAAATTTTTTCTTTTACTGAAACAATGTTATCCACTGTGTAAAATGAATATAAACATACTTCTTTTGTTCGTAACATACCATTTGTTGTAAAAGAACAGAAATTGAGTTTTACGATCATTTCCTTTCATCATCAGTAAGAGTGCTCCTGTAACTGGAGGAGTTACCCAGTGAACACAGAATGTAAATGTGACAGTCACCAAAATTCCATATCAATACTATTTGTTTTAATCTTCAATATCCGTTATTAGGTAAAAAATTAAATAACTAATTGTGATAAATCTACTTTTTGTAACAAATTTGGATTTTTCCTCAGTTATTCTGCTTTCCCTAGATTCTTGAAGAACAGAACTTATTATATTATATGGTTTTAACCGTATATCCGACATTTATCGTATTATTCTGTTACTTTTCTTTTTTTTATAGATTTCAAAATTTTTTTGGAAGTTTGGTGACAGTCACCAAAATTCCAATTCGTCACCAAACTTCCACTTTGGTCGCACAAATGTTACCAAACGTCCGCTTGCATGTGTATATATACATATATATATATATATATATGTATATATACTTCTACTGTTATTCAAGAGGAACGCTTCAACTTCATAGCTATAGATATTATATCAACGTTACTATGTCAGTAACACGGATGATTTGGTGATGTGAACTTACAAGTTTGTCCCCTACTAAAAATTGCTCCAACGCGCCTAAAGAAGTTTTCACTTCAAAAAGAAGTGAAATCCGCACAAAACAGGCATCTAGGAATGCCTGTAAAAACTGGCGCCAAGTCCACATTCAAGTAAAATTAGTATAAATGGAAAAAAGGTAAGATCAAAAAAACATGTGAAATCAAGTAAAACGCCAAGTTAGCTGCGTTTTTTTTCATAATTTTTTCCGAACTAGCAATGTACTATTGACTTATAAAATTTCAGTTAATTTTGAAGTACCAAAAAAAAAATCTTCAAAACCAAAAAACTATGGAACATGGCCCAATTTTTTAAATTCTTTCAACAGTTCCATATATTATAGTTCATACATAAGAACATTTGAAACCGAATTGGGCAGACTTTAATGACAAAATCCGAACAACCTCCTCTACATATCTGTTAAATTTGGTCGCAATCGAATTAACCGTTTTGGAGATTACCCCGAACAGACAGATAGACACCAGAAATTTATATAGTAGTATATATACGTGCAAGTGGAAGTTCGGTAACATTTCGTACGATCAAAATGGAAGTTTGGTGACGAATTGGAATTTTGAAGACAGTCACCAAATTTCCAAAAAAATTTTCTTCTTCCAAATTAATTTTTTTCCTAGATGCCTGTTTTGTGCGGATTTATGTATGTATGTATAATTTTCATAAAGAAAAATAAAAAAAAATTCTGGTGTGATCGGACTTGAACCCGGCTTAGCAAAATGAAAATTTGGCACTCTAACCACAGAGCTAATATATTATCTGGGAAGCTGTTTATGTTTACAAATCATATAATGCAGGCTTGAGTACGATGAGTTATGATAGAGCTCGCCAGCAAAGTGTCAGAACAAATCGTTGTCTTGATGATGTCATGTTATAACGGTTGGTTCTTTCACTCATAACGACACGAGACCAAATCGACTTACCGACCGTGATAAGTTATCTTCAGTGATAATACCGACCTCGATTGGCAATAAATAATCTTCAGCGATAATACCGATTTCAATTGGTGATAAATTATCTTCAGCGATAATGTTATAAATATCAGCAAAAAAATAACCATAGAAAAAAAAATAGCGGTGATGTGTCTCGAAGATGTTAGATGATGGGAAAAGGTATTAAAGTAAGAACAATTTCTGTTCCAAGCAAATTTTTTCTTTATTATTATAATGTATTCTTCTTTTTTATAAAAAAAATAATGATCCTTGAATGATAGTTCCCAAGTAGCATTTATCTACCTGTAAGAATCGAAATTATCGATTTCTTTGATAACTTTTTTCATATAAGTAAAACTAGAAAAACTAATCATAAAACAAGACTTACAGTATCATAACCATCATCATAGTCAGTGGAATCATCATCATAATTATTGTCGTCATCAATTGTTGGAGGTGAAGGAGGTAGAAATTCTATCTCACTATCCTCCGATGACACAGTTGCTGGAGAAGGAGGTAGAACTTCTACCTCACTATCACTGTCTTCGACAGTGATGATTTCCTGGCTTGGAGGTGGTGGCATGACGGAGATGTCTCCTTCTATCCGGAACCATATGACGCTACCGGGGAACGTTAGGCAGGTAGCCGTTATGCCACAAAGCGTAAGGGTAGCGCCTTCTATCCCTCCCGTCTCTTCCCAATGATCTTCAAGTGTCATTAGAATAATAATTTCTAGGAGGGTGATCGGTAGGTCGAACCAGGCCTCCGGGAAAATAAAAGTGCACATCTCTTCCTAAGAAGTAATAACGATTATGATAGATTTTTTTTTCAAACTTAAAAAAAAAAAAATTCCCCCACTTGATAAATTATCATTTAACAATTTATGAAATTCACAATTACACTCAATAAATAATCATATTAATGCATAAAAATTAAAAAAAAGACACTTTTTATACTTGAATGAAGCAAAAGTCACTACTTACTTGGTATGGTTTGATCAGTTTGACTGTCGAAAATAAACTAAATATTTTGTCCTATTCATCGTACACCATGGCTAAATGTTTATATTTTTCAAATAGGCCAATGGTGAAAAAATCATTGAACGATATTGATTTAAATCTATATAGAGAGGCCTTGATCACATCACTCAGCATCAAATTACAGATAGAGAAAAGAATTTGACAGCAAGAAAAAATTTTCACTAAAAAAAAATTTATAGATGACATTTTTTTCTTTTTTAATTATTAAAATAGCTTGTAAACGATCTCTACTATGGATAAATAATTTTAGACATATATTTTTTCGATTGGATTTTTAATTAAACTTGTTTTCTTTGTCGCTCATGCCTCTGCTATTTTTTTTTCCCCGCTCTGCCACCGCTTCCTCACTTTGTCTATACTTTTATTTTCCGCTAAGAAGCTGTGATTCATGCAAAAGTTGAAAAGGCTATGTGTCGAAAAATAATCGACTTATTTTATTTCATTTAGAAACGTTAATATTTGACTCAGTCGGTCGACTGCATCACATTTTCCTCACCCTTATCTCTTTTTCACTTTGTTTATACTCTCCTTCTCTGTTACTTATTGAAGTAAGATATAGTATATATTATGAATAATCAATTGTAATATTTCATTTACTGTATGAGTAAACATAACTGAACGGATTTTGAATGTAAAAAAATTATTGAAACGAAAAATTATTATCTTTTTTTATTTTATATTTTTTGAACTACGATTTGTAATTCTTTACGTTTAAATGTGTTCTGACTTCGAGTCGGCCGGACGGAAAAACGAAAACCTAGTGGACTGTAATGAATACGAGCAGAACAAAGAAAAAGGTTGGATGCTAGAAGGTTCCTTAAAAAAAAGTTCAACACCAAATTGTATGGGTGTTATAGTTTTTATTAACCAATAACACTTAACTTAACCAATAGAAATTAATAGTCACTAAAGTTATGTGAGTTGACTGTACATTTATTGTTCATACACTTATGAATTGTCTGCTGGTTATTTTTTCACCGAAAAAGGTCTCACACAGTGAATAGCAACAGGCACACTATACACCTGAGTTGTTCGAGTGTGTGATGTATGTGTGACTGTCCGTGAGGCACTATGGCGTCGACGCCAGTTCAGCTTCGCGCCCAAAGACACTACAACTGACTTTACTGGACCACTGGCACTGATGAGATTGATTATGATGTTTCAATTATGTACACGAGAGTTGTCTGAGTCTATTTGACCGTATTTTTAATTACCAAGGGTGAGCTGACTGCAAAAAACTGCGATTCGACTGCGAAAATTTATACAGAGATGACCGCGTGATTTGCCTGGAGCTAACTGACGCCACAAGTGCTCGACCGCGTGCTTGGTGGCGTCACTAGGGCCGTAGAGTTGCCTTCTGGGCCATGAGGGAAATACTTCCCGATGATTGGTCCAGTGAGTTGACTGACGCGCCGGTGGACAAGTCCGGCATTAACAATTTTCAAATATTCTGAGACTTGCTGACTTGGGGCCCTCTAAGTTAGAACAAAATGACTTCTTTAACGTTGGAAATAATTAAAAAAGAGTTGAAAGTTAACAACGTTTAATGTACGGTAAAGATTTTACAGAGAGTGCACATTAATGCCACACGTTAATACATGAAACTAAAAGTGACGTTTGGAAACATAAGTGAATTGATTGACGTTTAGTATTTCAACATCCTCCCTTAAACTCAAATCAACCCTATCGTGGAGGCACAGTATGCCAGTTTAGCATGTGATGTCGCTTTAGTGAGTGCATCTGCTACCATCAAGTCCGTTTGTATATATTGCACATCAATGGCCCCTTCAACAGTTTTGTCACGTACATAATGATGCCTCACATCTATATGCTTTGTTCTGGAATGATAGCCATCGGATTTCGATAGTTTAATAGAACTTTGATTATCGCTGTAGATAATCATTGCTTCATTCTTCAGTAGAGGCCAAAACGTTTCTTGTAGTTGCTTCAGCCACATAGACTCTTGAACACAGGACGACAAAGACATATACTCTGCTTCGGTTGTCGATAGCACAACAGTTGGCTGGCGTTTAGAACTCCAGCTAATCGCTCCTCCCTGAAACAAGAAGATGTACCCAGTACACGAACGTCGGTGATCTTCTGAACCTGCCCAGTCTGTGTCACAGAAGCCAGGAGTCATAGTTTCCTCTGCATTTTGTTTATAACTCAATCTATTATCTTCAGTACCTTTTAAATATCGCATAACTCGCTTCAATAATATCCAATGTGCCATTTCAGGTTTCTGATTGTATTGACTCAATAAATTTATCACAAAACTTATATCTGGCCTAGTAATGTGTGAAATATACAACAAGCATCCAATAATTTCTTGATAAGAGATTCCATTCAATGTATTTGATTCCTCAGATGTACTTTTTAACTTTGTATTGATATCTATTGGAATCTTAACACTTTTGCAATCAGACATGCCATATTTATTTAGTCCTTCTGTTCTGACTTGGTCTAAGGTACTCTATCGACGGCCTAACATTTTTCTCCCCACCGAATAATTAGATGACTCAAGGTCTCTCCTGCCAACTCATGTTCGCCAATTAGACAACTCTAATTAATTTCTAGACGTATATGTCCCTTCTCGAAGGGCCTAGAAGCTTCGAGAACGCAGAGGTTACGGGAAAAACGGTATGTATTAGTCAGTATTCGCCGGTTACTGCGAGTATTCGTACGTAGCTCGTACTCGGACGGCTCTTGGGCATCATCGGACGATGCCAACCCACAGACAACTCGTTGTAACAGTCAACTCGGTACCTGTGTACTAGCAGAGAGCTCACGCAGTCGAACTCTCTAGTGAAAACCCAGACAACTCCTCTGACATGGACTAACTCACCAGTTAATCATCTATAGTGATGATTGTGAACTCATCAGGCAGTCTACCTCTTAGAAGACATCCTCAGGAAGCTCATGTTGGTCCGCATCAGCACCTTCTAACAAAAGGCGCGAATGATGTCGGCTTCGACGCCTCACGGCCTCATGGACAGACACACACACAAGGTCCATACACGAACAACTCGCTTGTGTCTGTGTGGCTGACGCCAACACAATGAAACTCAGACTACTCAAAAAAATCAGGCTACTCCTGGTGCAGAGACCAGTACAGGAAAACTTACAACTTTCCTGTGATCCTCTACTTATCAGTCAACTCAGCAGTGAACTTTGTGTGAAATTTTCGTGAACTCAAGGCTGTACAGACAACTCAAAAACTCCTTTATTGTTTTTTTTCTGTTACTGTGATTTTAGTGTTAATAAATCGTTAACTGTTACTGTTAAATAGTGTCAGCCAACTCATTTACACCGTTCAAAAGTCCCGACTGTTCTAGCATCCAATCATCTGAAAAATACAGTCCACGAAGTCCCGACTTCTCACTCAGCCGACTCAAAGTCAGAACACCTTCTCTTATGTATTTTTTCTGATCTAAATGAATGACTCCATTCTCTCTGTCTCTTTCTACATGAATACCAATGCAATAATTTATATTTCCCAAATCTTTTATCTTAAATTGTTTTTTTTAACTTTTCTGTAATATGATTTTTGGACTCAATATTATTCGTCAGTAAAATTATGTCGTCGACATAGGTAGCTCGAAAAATATTGTTATTGTTGTCTACCATTTCATAATATATACAAGGATCTAACTTGTTTTGTAATAGACCTATTCCTTTAAGTGTAGAACTAAGCTCCTTATTCCATTGCCGGCTTGCCTGTTTTAATCCATATAATGATTTTCTTAACCGACATACTTGTTTACCATTCTCATACAGTGGTGGTTGCATCATGTAGATCTTCTCCTCTATGCCGCCTTGAAGAAAAGCTGATACTGTATCCATTTGACAGATGTCTAAATCAAATCTAACTGCCAAGGTAAACAAATATCTTAAAGAAGCGTACCTTATCACTGGTAAAAATACTTCTGTGTAGTCTACCCCAGGTCTTTGAAAACAACTTTTAATTACAAGCCGTGCTTTTTACTCCACTATCTCTCCATTTTCATTAGTCTTCTTTTTGTAAACCCATTTGCATGGTAAGAGGCGTTTGTTGTCTGGAAGAGTAGTAATATCCCATGTGTTATTCACTAATAATGACTGATACTCCTCATCCATTGCTGTTTCCCAGTATTCAGCATCAGAGCCCGACAAGGCTTTTTCAACATTTAGTGGATCTGAAATCTGCTCAACACACATAAAATTATTGTGTTTCTGATGAGATCTAAGGGTGATATTTCTTGTAAAGCTACCAACACTACTATCATCATTGAAACTGGGATAATATGTTTCATCATCAGTCATTATATTCAACACACAACTATTAAAAGATGAGTCAGTACTCGAGGGTGATGATGATTCATCTTGGGTCTCACTCTGCAGTGTATTGTCCACGGATGTCACCTCATCCTTTTCACTTACAGGAATATTGACAAGGTCTTTGGTAAGTACAGGTTACTGTGTCACATTATTCAATGAGTTTAGTTTCTTACCAGTCCACTTTTCATAGGGAGTTACCTCAGCCAAAACCCGTGATAGTGATCTGTTTATGACAAAAACTGCAGCAGTGACCGCCTCTGCCCACAACTGTTTATGCAGCTTTGCTTCAAATAACATGCACTTTGCTCGTTCCTCCAATGACTGATTCATCCGTTCCGCTACACCATTCTGCTCAGGCGTGTAGGAAGTACTGGTCTGATGTTTGATGCCGGAAGCTGCTAAAAAAACAGAGAATTCTTAATTACAGTATTCTTTTCCGTTATCGCTTCTTACTATTTTATTTTCTTCTCTAATTTATTTTCTACTTCTTCTTTAAATTTTTGAAACACTGACTTAATATCCATTTTGTTCTTGAGAAAATACACATATACTTTACGGGAATAGTCATCTATAAAGGTTATGAAGTACTTCGCACCACCTACAGATGATGTCTCCATCGGACTACATAGATCTGTATGTACTATTTCTAGTAATGCTTTTGCTCTTGAACGGTAATCGTGTTTGTTTAGCTTCACAACATGGTATGCAAACCGTATTAATATCTTTATTTGTGATAGTTATACCCTCAGCACATGATTCTAACCTCTTTACATCAACCAAATTTAAATGCCTCATTCTCGTATGCTATGTAATAATATCAGTCTTATTTTCACAAGCAACAGCATAAGCATTCACAGACACAGTGTTCAATTTATACATGTTATTGAATAGTCTTGCATTTGCTATAAGAATCTTATTGGCATTGTAAATATTACAGCCCATGTCAGTAAATTCCACTTTACAACCATTCTTGGTTAATTGACTGATAACAAGTTTACACTCAGCTCAGGAATATATAAAACATTTCTTACCTGGATCGGGCATTCATCCTTGCAAAAAATAGTTTAAATGTTTACATTACCCATATTTTGCACAGACACTGCATCATTATTAGCTACTTTAATTTGCTGAATCGGAGATGCTTGTATATCATACATCCAGTCAGAACGGCTCGCCATGTGCATTGTAGCACCTGAGTCAATGTACCATTCATCTTTATTTACATTGCTGTAAGCTGAAAAACGGTTTCGATTAGATTCTGAAGTCTTCTCTGTGCACTGATTTTTAAAATGTCCATATTTGTTACAATTAAAACAGCGAGGCCCTCTTCCTTTTCTCGTGGCATTGTTTTTAGAGGTATTCTTGTGCTTTGTAAATGACGCTGAAGATGCGGAAACTTTCACTTCCTGTAAAAGTTTTGTCTTAATGAAGTCTGATGAAATTTTGATGCCGGAACTTTCCAAACCCATGATCATCGGTTTATAATTAACAGGTTAACCCGCCAACATGAGTGTTCCCAACCATTCGTCATCAACTTGAAAACCGATATTTCGTAATTTATATGCGGTACTCATGATTTGATTCACATATTCCTCGACGCTTGCGCAGTTATCCAGTGGTATGCTGATTAAATCCATACTTCTCTTGATGACTGTGCATTTTTAATATGGACGTAGTTTATTGGTTCCACCAACAAAATGATTTTCGACTTGGCTTTTATATCTTGTCGATTTTGGTGCAGGGATCGACGCATTCCCACAAATCTTCATGATGAAGATAGGATTTCACCGCAAACTTCCAAGTAGAATAATTCTCCCGCCCGGCTAACTTTTCAATTTGTAGGTTAGTCATAGCCATTTTTCTCAGGGCGATTTTCGATGAAATTACGAAATATTTACTACTGTACGATCCTTTATTACACTAAATGTTAAACTTTTAATCTATGGGCCCATAACCTGTTGGAAATAATTAAAAAAGAGTTAGAAGTTAACGACGTTTAATGTACGGTAAAGATTTTACAGAGAGTGCACACTAGTGCCACACGTTAATACATAGAACTAAAAGTTACGTTTGGAAACATAAGTGAATTGATTGACGTTGTAACAAGGCGGCTGAGTCGATTGTCACTCAGCCCTTCAGCAAGTCGATACGTTATCGATCACTAGTTGACCTAATTCACCAATTGGGTCAAATTAATTTATTTTTGGCGGTGCTATTATCACCACGTGGCTAGCCGGCTAAAATATTCCCGGAAGGATGCCATTGTAGTGTTACCATTAAACGAGTAAGCACGTGGTGTCCACTCCTTTCAAGCTACAATCATTACGCTGCTTGAAACCTTGAACATCCAATATCATTGCCATGATGCACGTAAAATTTGTACACATGCCGAAAATGTAAAACGCAACTGAATAGTATTACGGTAAATCATCTATTTATATGTTCAGCCCGACTTATTGAAATTATAGCATCTAATTTTATTGTTTGATCACTACAACGATTGGCTATAAAATTGTATTTTGTAGGATTTTTTTTTGCATCACATGTAATTTTTGTTAGTCTGAAATGTTCAGCAAGAATGATGAAACATCACGCTTCCCCTTCTCAAGATATTTCTCGGAAAATCAGGCAAGAATTTACATGATCTCAGGGCTGATTTACAGCCTTGCATGTTCTGGAAGTTTTTAGTGGGGGATGATGAAACATCATGTAAACGTTTTATACGCATGTTTTAATTTATGATTGCATAAAAAATTGAAACATTCTGGATCCTTTGTTTGGAGGGGATGAATTGTATTTATACCTATGCAAGGCATGTTTAAAATCACTGATAAATTAAAACTGTAAGAAATACGTTGTGATACATAAATCAAACAGTAAGAATGGATTCATCAAGAATAAATAAAATTGCCAAGTGTGAGACATACTTACCAACCAAGAAGACGGATACATTAAAACCCTCTTAAACGTAAAAAATTACTGGTCTAAAAGAACTTGAAACTGTGTATGAAACAAAAGTTGTGGCAACAGTTAAAAATAGCTACATGATATTTTTACCTCCACGAACGGTGAAAATTTTGGAAAATCATAAAGAATTTGAAAAATTGGTTGAGTTGGCTGCTGACAACAGTTATCATTGTTGTACCATGGTGGAGCTAAGAATTCTTTTGAACTGATAGCTGATGATGAAATGTAATCTAAAATTTTACATGTCAAAAAAAAAATATAATGGATACAATTGATGAAATGTAAATCTTACGATAATCAATGTAATCTAAAAAAAATTTTCATGTCACAAAAATAATGAATACAATAAACAAAAAAAATAAATTTTAAACTATTGTTCTTTTGATTTAAATATTTCCCCTTTCGACATTTTCAGAAAATCGTTATTTAATATAATTTAAATTTGGTAATTGATATTCTCGAACTTTCAAGAAATTCTTTTTGGATTATGACAGTCATTACAAGGTCATCCAAATCCTATATAAATCTTATTGTTGCGAGAGGTTAATCGCAACCTGTCAGCTGGACAGGTTATAACGTGTTTGCAGCTATTAACGCTCAAACGACGCTCAAGTACACGTACTCGATTATCGCTCGTTCCTTCTTTGCAAATCCTAATCGTTTCAAGCTCTTGATAAATTCTATTCAGTTTCAATAAAGTTCAGTTAAGCTCGTAAATTGTTAATAAGTCATTGTTAACGTAAAAAATACTTTATTTTTGTAATAAAACTGATAGTTAAGCTCAAAAAAAGTGTCTATTGTGTGTGTGCACCTCTCCTGACCACATCCTACGGCGTAGCTCGAACGCTATCGATCTTTTAGCTCTAAATAAAACAACCCAATCAATAATTTTCGGTTCTTAAAATACACTTATTGAGCACGCTTTTCCATCATTGTAATTCTGAAGTTTGTCTAGTATAGTCAAAAATGAGTGCACCGAACTATTATTCTGATTTAATTAAAATGATGGAGGACGCTTATGCTCTTGTATCATCTTTAAATCGTGAATCTAGTTAAATCATTGATAAGTGGGTGCGAATTAATAGTGACAATATTACTACATTCAATAGACATTTGCAATCAAGTGGTATATCGGTTGGTGAAAAACAACGAATTCAATCGATAATTGCAGCACTCGCAACATTACATGAAAAATTCGTAAATCATTCAATCGTTGGAGGAAGCCTTCAATCAACAGAACAATTAATTCGATAGAAAGATTTAGAAAATGTTTTCAGGAATCGAATTCGCACTAGTGTTGTCATTAACTTGCAAATTTTAAATTAACGAGACTTCTTATTGAACACTGAAAAGCTGATTACCGAAAAGTCGACAAATATAGTGACAAGTGAGGGAAATTTAAAAGTGAACTTTGTCCTTGCTTGTAAATTCTGTAATCGAACAAATGATGAAACAGTTGTAGAGATGAAGTACTTTAATGTAAAAAATAAAGCAATTTTGCCGTCAACAGACATAAAAAAACATTTTTTGGAAAATGTTGTTGACGAACTACTAACAAAAGTCAAGAAATTGAATATCGGCAAGTCAATATCAATCGTTATCAACCTCTATCAGCTGAACAATCTACATTTATGTCTCTACCAAAATTCATACAACAAAAAAAAGCAGTACTAAATATTAAAAACAACGATCAATACTGTTTCTTTTGGGCTGTTACTGCAACTCTTTATCCTATTTTTGTGAATTCAACAAGAACAAGTTCATATCCTGATTACAAAAGTGTGTTAAAATGTTAAGGTATTAACTGTCCCACAACCTTACATGATGTTCCAAAATTTGAAAAACTCAACGATTTAGCAATAAATGTGTATGATTTAGATGACTGTACGTATGGTTTAGATGATAATTGTGAAATTTTTCCGATGTATTTAAGTAAATATTATAAAGTACATGAGCCATATATTCACCTGTTTATGGTACACAGTAGAGTAAAAGTAGAATGAAAATAATATTAATCCAGTTTTTCATTTTTGTCTGATAACGGATCTCTTAAGATTAGTTGGGAATCAAATTTCTAAAAATGCACACAAACTATTCTTATGTGATAGATGTTTAGGTCACTTTAAGATGGAAAAATCATCAAAAAGATTGTATCAATATGAACGATACGCGAATTACACTTCCGAAAAAAAGTCTTAAAATAGAATTTAAAAATTTTCATTTTAAAGAGCCTGTGCCATTCGCTATCTATGCTGATCTTGAGAGTATTCTTGAACCTGATAATGAAGGTAATCAAAAGAATATTCCATGTAGTGTAGCCTATTATATGCACTATACATATGACAATTCAAGATGTCGATTCAATCTTAAACGTGACGTTAATTGTATAAACTGGTTCATGACGAAGTTGAAAAAAATAGCTGAAACAGTCAAAACTTACCTAGAAAACGTAGTACCAATGAAACCATTAACATCCCAACAGTTAAACAATTTTCGTAATGCAAAAATCTGTCACATTTGTAATAAACCATTTTTACATGATAAAACGAAAGTACATGATCACTGTCACTTTACAGGCAATTATCGAGGCGCTGCTCATGTTAATTGTAATTTAAATTATTAAAATCATGCATAATTCCAGTTATTTTTCATAACCTCTCAGGATATGACTCACATTTTTTTATTAAATCATTAGCTACATCATTTAAAGGTTATATTGAATTATTACCTGTCAATAAAGAAAAATACATAGAATTTACAAAAACAGTTGATCAGGAAATTCCCCACGAGAAATAGTTGTTAAATTACGATTTATTGATTCTTTCCGATTCATGAGCAATAGTATTGAAAAACTTGCATCATTTTTGGATAATAACGCAAAATCAATTACCAAAAGTTTCTATCCCGAGCCAGATAAATTTCAGTTAGTAACTCGTAAAGGTGTTTTCCCATATGAATGTATTGACAGTTGGGAAAAACTAGACGAACGACAATTACCAGACAAAACAAAATTCTATTCGAAACTCAACGATTCGGACATTTCCGATGACAATTACCAACATGCACGCCACGTTTGGGATCAATTTCAACTAAACGCCTTCGGTGAATATTCAGATTTATATTTAAAAACAGCCGTTCTTCTGTTAGCAGACATTTTTCAAAATTTTAGACAACGTTGTATCTCTACTTATGAGCTTGATCCGTTACATGTGTGAAATAATAACGGAATTCATTGGTCTGAAAGCAAAAATGTACACATTTAAAATTGAAAACATAAAAGACAAATATAGTAAAGCAAAGGGTGTCAAAACTGCAACAATAAAATCTATAACATTTGATGACTACAAAAAATGCTTCCTTAATCATAAAGAATTATGTAAAACGGAATATCATATAGTCAGCAAGAAACATGAAGTACATACAATTAGTAGACAAAAATAAGCATTAAGTTGGGAAGACAATAAAAGAGTTCTTTTAGCACAAACAACTGATACACTTCCTTGGGGTTATAATTCATATCAAATAGTGTAAATAAATTATTGTAAATATGAAGTTTATGTAAAAAAAATAATTTGTAAGAAAAAAAAATATTATAAATTATTTACATTGGTTCATATTGAATTCATCTTCTACAAATAATATGATAAAATCATTGTCAACCTTAATGGTCTTTTTTTTTTCATCTTTAATTTCTTCCAAAGTTCGTTTATTAATTTTATCAAGATGTTTAATTGTTTCTTTTTTCTTTTTAATTTTTTGTTGTTCTTCATGAGTTAAAGGTATCCATTTGAAATTAGCAGTTTTATCTTTTGTATAACGTGGTAATTTTTGAGCATCACTACACATTTTGTCAGTCATTGCTTCTATCTCTTCAGCCAAAAACATTTTGGCAGTCATTGTTTCCAACTCATTAGTTAGAGACATTATAAATCTTCTATGTTAATCCAGCTATTGTGCGTTTTATCAAATCCTAACCACTTGACAAAAGCTTGATTACTACGCTTTTTCAGAACTTTTTCCACCAAATGAATAAATATCAGGATATTGAACTTTAGTCAATTCTTCTTGATAAAAACCTGCTTTAATCGGTTGGTCTTGATAGTCGATAAGCTTGTATTATTTAGTCTTTTCCATTTTTTATTGAGCTTCAAGTTTATTATTGTAGATAGTATGACGTAATTGTTTCTCATTAGCTGAAATAACATCAATCGGTTTTATGTTGATGGTTCTATGTTTGCTATTGTTATATGATGTTATCAATTTTGGTTAGATGTCTATCCATTTGTAATCACCTCGCCACGTAAATTGTTTCCACATTTGACTTTCTAACGTGCGAATAAATCGTTCACACACAAATGCCTCAAGATTACTGAATGTAGAGTACATTTTGATATTTTATCGTTTCATTAGTGCTTCAAATTCTCTATTGTAAAATTCTTTTCCTCTATAAACATGAAAAAATTTTGGCACCCTTTTTTGTAATAGAATCGATTTCATTACATGGGCTACATCTTCACCATTTTTAGATTTTGTGGGCACAGCCCAAGCGTATTTTGAAAAAATATCAATAACAGTCGATAAATACTGATGACCTTTATTATAAGATTTATATGCTGTCATGTCAACTAGATAAGCTCGCCAAGTTTTATCAAGTCCACATATATCAACATGTCGTCGTTGATAATTTCTTCTAACCGGTCTATGCAGCTCTTCAGTTATTATTTTTTTCTCCATGTTCATGATGCTGCTGATCAAGATATTTCCGAATATTTTCTTTCAATTGTTTAATATTTTCAGCTTGTTTACGATTTGCTTTTTTCAGTAAACGTAATCGATCTGACTCATACAGTTCAATTGTTTCATTCAATTCTTCTTTCAGACGTTTACGATGTTCTTGTGATGATTCAATATGTTGCTCTACTTGAACATTAATTATTTTGATTTTTTCTCTATTTTCTCCAACAATTCTTCTTAAATTTGCTACAGTTTCGCGTAACAGACGTAATTCCATTTCAAAAAATTTTTTTAACATCGTAATCTTTTTTTCAATTACTCCTAATGATGTTGCATTATTCAAATCTACTGGTTCAGCGAGATTACAGAATCTCTTATGATCCATGTCAAACTATTGATCCACAGTTAATTCGAATCCTTCACCAGGAGGCCCACGAACAGCACTTTTCACAACATCTTTCGCTTACTGTCGTCCGAAAACGCCAACACTCATTTTTAAACCTCTCACTTCAAAAGTTTTTCAAAGAATGAGTAGCTGTGTGGAATACATCAGATTAATGAATGATTTTAGCTTTACGCAATTTCTCTAAAATTGATAAAATTTCGTTAGTATGACTGAAATTTCCAGCAGTTTGAGATGCAATAAGTAAACGAAGTCGACCTACAAGTTCATTAGGATCATCCCAATAAATATAATCGGTAGGATAATTTTGTTTATGTTTAATCATATATTGTGGTAAACTCTCCCCACTTTTTGGTATATATTTACTGATGATGTCGGTAAATTTTTTTAAATTCTTATCTACTCTGATACTTCTGTCAGGAAGATAATGCTTTCGATAGGCGTTTGTCATACTGATAATTCCGTCGTAAGTGTTTTTATCTTCTTTTGTTATTTTTGATTGATCAAGTGAATTCATAAATAATAATTCCAATAGACCAGAAGTAGTATTGTATTTTTTATCACCAATATAAATAAAATTATTGTCGAACCTGACTTCAGAATCATCCATCATCAGTCGATTACCTTTTAACTTTCGTATGCCATACTTTGTATCTAATTCTTTGGACAAGAGCTTAGAATCGAACATCTTCAAATACGTTACTACAGGTATGTCTTTAATAGGAGTACTTTGATGGGTAATTGTTGCTGTTGTATAAGAATCATCATCAGTTATTTCATAATCAGGTGTAAGGCTTTCTTGTTTGCTTTCAACTTCTTCTTTAGGTTCTTCTTTTTTTATTTTTATTTCTTGAGGTTCCTCTTCAATAAGTTTTTTATCAGCTAATTGTTTAAGAGGAGTCACCATAGGTTTAAATATTTCACTCATGATTTGTTGAGTCATATCTCTTCCAATCAACTTATGCTTTTGGCGTATTGCATCACTAGCTTTCGCTCTTTGATGCAATATTTTTTTTTCTTGTTGCAGCTTCGTGGTTTTCATGTTGACACTTTGACAATCACATATATGATGTACAATTTAATGTATTCACCATAAATTTATACTCATAAAGCAATTAAATCCTCTTTTATATCGCCCATTATTGAGATCACTGTCTTTATCAATTACCAAGAAGCCATATTTATCATTATTCCAGCACATTAAACATGTAAAAATAGATAAAACTTGCATGGAAGCATCCAGTACAGAAAACATGATTTATTCACCTTTTAAAATCTGTAACTTTTTTAATATCAATATTAAGAAATAAAAATTGGTAGACAGATAGAGAAAAGTCTTATCCATAAGCCTGTCTGATTGAAATAATTAAAAACCGCAAATCGGCTCGCGGGCAATTCTGAGAGCATCAATTTTAGAGAAGAAGCTAGAATAAAAATGCATTTTTTCACCTTTTAAAATCTATAACTTTTTCTAATATTAATATTAAGAAATAAAAATCAACAAAGTAATAGAAAACAGTCTGATCTATAATAGTCTGACAATTTTCATTCCTCAATATCAATATTAAAAGAAGTTACAGATTTTAGAAAGTACAAGTGTTCATATATAAGCTGGTGTATGCTTATTTAATTACATGGAGAAATATATATTAGTCAGTCATAATTAGTTTTTTTTACTGTGCATACGTACTTGAGAATAATTATTTATTTTATCATATGTTATAGTGCTATTGTTATTAGTATTTGAGAGGTTCCCATTAATTATTATTAAAATTTGATCATGCCCTTTAAATACATATTTATATAAATATTTTACAGATTTTATAGACGAAACAATTTCTACATTCATATGAGCATTAAATCGTTTCGAAAGTATTTTACTGCGTGGTACATGTTGATTTGTAGAAGTGCTTCCTTGTGACCGAATATAAATAATATCTGAATCTCTGCGACGAGAATAAGGCCCTGGTTGAACATTCCGATAGAATCCTATAAAAAAAAAACTTTATAAGAATGAATCGGAAAGTTACATCATAAATATCACACCTTCATGAGAATCTATAAAACATTTTCTTATAAATTCTTATGAAACAAGTAATATTTCTAATGTAACTTTTTGATTCATTCTTATAACTTTATAAGAATCTATAAGCAGGTTTCGTATTATTTTCTATCGGAATTCATAAGAGATTATTAAAAATATTCTAATCACTTTGTATAAGAATCTATCAGCACGTTTTGTATAGTTTTTTATTGGAATTTATCTTCTCATCACGAAGAACATTAGTTTAAAAAAAAGAAATTTAAATTTACTTTGAACGTTTTTTATTTATACGAATTTGTTATTCAAATATACACCTGTAGTAAAATTTGTCAGTACCTTTATCCGAAAATATACTGCTGATGTTGAGATTTGATCCTGCCATCTTCGGGTCCACAGTCCAGTACGCTGCTGATTGCGCTATTCTAAAACATAGAGATATGATTTCCGCCTAATGTATTTTAGTTAGTTAAAATAATTCAAACATAAATTAAGTTTGCTCCCTAGCAAGTATTTCGAAGCAGAAATAGAATAATTGTCATTTGTAAAGATATGACAGTTAAAATGCAACTTAGGAAATTATATTTTTATCCCAATGTCATATGATAGGATTTTATTCTATTCAAAAGAAGAACACTAGAAAAATTCCTGTAAGAAATTACTGAATTCTTATCGGTAAACAATTTCTTCAGCATATCGACTATTTTTATAAGATACAATCGAACCGTTTGTCGTAAGATCCTATGAGAATTTATGAGCAAGTGACGCCGTTTGATGTTCTGTCTGATTCTATCAGAATTATTGTCATCAGATTAAATAAGAACTTATTGGTAAAGAATTTTCATCCACAAATCAACCATTTTTTATAAGAAACTCTGGGACTGTGATTTATAAGATCCTATGAGAATTTATCAGTTAATGACGCCGTTTGATAGTCTGCCTGATTTTATACGATTCTATTTGAATAAAGGTCATCAGATTGAACAAGAACTTATTGGTAAATAATCTTTATTAACATATCAACTTTTTTTATAAAAAACTAAGGGACCATTGCTCACAAGATCTTGCCTCAACCAGTGAAATCACGAACCTACAGAATTTAGAATTTTCCTATTGACACAACTGAATAGGATTATAATGATTTTAAAAAAAGTTAGCGATTTTATAGAAAATAAAGAGTTTCTATGGGAAATGAAAGTAGAGATTTGAATAAGAAATTGATCGATTCAATAAGATAATCTGACTCAAAACATTTATCTTTATTTCTAAATGCTGCAAAAGAATTAAGCATTATTTTATGGGTTGAACTCTTCCGACATCCAATAGTAAATACCTACTGAGAAGCAAAATTCTAATATAGAATATCTAGCGAAAAAATATTCTCTAAATTACATTTTTATGCTTGATGAATTCATAAACGTTCTCATAAGATTTGAGAATGAAATGAGAAATCACAGTTTCCCATATATTCTTAGAAAGACTTGTACACTGCTTTATCGTTTAACTGAAAATTCTATAGAAAAAAAAAGTTGCGTTCGAGTTCAAACATAGCTTACTTTTTTATACAGCATGAGCGAATATTTCTGATTATCACAACGTACACGATAGCGTAAGAACGCATTTTTCATTATTAGAACATAAGTTAAAGCGCTAAAACACATGTTCATTGCTTGGAAAAAACGTTCCAGCATTATAAAACGACAACGGATATTGGAACGAATATTTCACTATAAGGATATAAATGAAATCGTTAGGATGCATTCCATATTAACAGAACATCAATTGGAACATTAAGACCTATATTCAACACTTTAAACATATTTTTGTTTATTGGAACATAAAAAAGATCGTTAAAACACATATTCAATCATCAGAACATAAGTGGAAACGTTAGAACTTATAACATAACGTTGGAACATATTTTGTTTTATTAGAATTTAAAGAAAACTGTTGGAACGTATTCCCTATTGTCATACATATTTAACCATTTGAACATAAATAAGTTCTTTAGAATATACTTTTGATTATCAGAACATAAGTTCAAACGTTAGGACAAATAATATAACGTTAAAATATATTCTTGTTTATTAAAACATAGTTTAGAACATTCGAACGAATATTGGATGATTAGAACATAAAAAAAATTCTGAGAATGCATTCTCTATTATTAGAACATAAACCGGATTATTAGAATACATATTTGACTATTGAAACATAAATAAGTTCGTTGGAACATATATTTAATCATTGAAACATAAGTTAGAAAGTTTAACTGTATGATTCAACGTTAAAACATAAATAAGTTTTTTTAAATACATGTGTTATGGTCAAAATATATGTGTGAACTTTAAAACCCATAATTTATTATTAAACCAAAAGTTAAATCGTTGATATCCATATCGAAACATTATTTTTTTTCTCATTATGAGAACGTGATGCTTTCATCACAAAATAAATAAAAATCTTATTTACTTCTTAGTTAAATTACTAATTATTAATTCAGAAATTTAAATTACTAAATTATCAGTTACTTTTGTATTTAATAATGTGGAAAAAAAAATTTCGAATTACTCCTGTAATTTGTAATTTCGCCAAAAATATTATCAATTGTAAAAGTAATTTGTAATTTGATCTATAAAATTACAAGTTACTTTATTAATTTGTTATTAGATCCATCAAATTGCAAATTACATTATCAATTGATAATTTTGAAAATGAAATTATCAATAAACACTGTAATTGATAGTTTCATTTCCGATATTAATGATTATTCAGTAATTGATAATTTTTTGTTCTAAATTGTCTATTACAGAAGTAATTGATAATTTTGCCCTATTGTACTACAAAGAAAATATTAATGCCGAACCTCAATCTATATGTTGAGGGAGATTTTATATGGAGTGAAATGCATATCCAATTATCTGAAGATCTGCAACCATCTCGACCATTGCATTTAAAAGCTTAAAAATCTCTTTTCTAACATTCTTATGTTCATCTGAAATATTATTATTATTGATTTTCAGTATAGAATCAATAATCTTTTTATCCAATAAGAACATTTGCTCATGTGTTGCTGCTAATGAAGCTTTTAGTCGATTATTAGTCTCTTTCAGTCGAACATTCTCCAATTTGAGTTGACAATTTTTTTTTTCAGTTCTGTATATATCTATTTAATATCATCAGAATTAAAACTATCCCTTTTTCATAGTGTTAGTGGAGCGGGTGCCGTACAGTGGTCCGAAAACACAATATGCCCACTGTAGAATTACACACAAAACGAAAATTCTTCAATATGCTATTAGGAAATGTTGAATGGTGAAATTACTCATAGTAAGACTATTCAAGAATATTAAATGACAATTAAGGATCGTGTTTTACTTCATACAATTATCGTACCTTTAAATTGTTCTCTTCTTATTGAATTCAATGAGCAAAACACGGCGAAAAATGGTCAGTCGATTTCTCATCATAAGAGATGATTTTTACTAAATTACTAACTACAATCTGTTCGGAAATCACCCCTACAGATAAATGCTACATTGAAAGTAGTACCAAAATCACCCAAAACACTTAAATGATTTATAATTTCAACATTAGTTCAAGATGTTGTACAGAATTTTACTTATCCTCGTGCTTATAGTAAATTAGTACTTCATCCAATTATATCTAAAAGATCACTGAGAATTTTCTGATTTTTGCAGGCAATATCAATTCTATAATGTCACAATCATGAGACACTTTTTAACCGTTCTCGCTCCTCACCTAAGACCAGGAACAAATGAGATGCTATTTTCATTATTCCTAAGTACGTATGCACAGTGAAAAAAACTAATTTTGACTGACTAATATATATTTCTTTATATAATTGAACAGGCATCCACTAGCTAATATATGGACAACTTCTTTGTAATGTAAAAGTTACTCATTTCACTCAAGTAGTCAATACAGGGGGATTTCAAGACATTCTATTTTACCTGCCGTGCGGTTGTGTCCTATGCTAAGGTAAGTTACCACCAGAGCAGGCAACTTATAGACCGCAGGTTTAGTTGCCGATTTCGGATTGTTATCGATCTGCAATCGGTAATTGTTACCGATCTTCTCTGCAAGGTAGCGGCATGTTATAACGCGCAGAATGTAAATTTCAAAAATTCTATGATGCTAACGTATAATTCAAGTGTTTAAGAAGTGT